ATGGTGATAACCACGTCACAGCTTCCTGCTGCCAATGGCTTCCATGGTTTGTTACCCATGCTGGGTGCATTGGTGCAGGTGCACTTCAGCTGGGCTGTCCATGTCACCTGACACAGGTGTGTCACCCCAGGTTCATCCGTGTCACTTTTTAGATCTAAGCTGTAGTCTTTTTGAGTAGATTCTGATCACTACTTCCACAAGAAAATCCATAAAAGCAGAATGAGATAATTAAATCTCAGTGAAATTACACAGATCAACGTTAGCCTCCAACCTCTGCAATGATCTGAATGGATCACAGACATTCTGTATTTCTATACTCATCCTGCAAGCTGGGCACTTCTATGACTTGGGAATAATTTATTCAATAACCTATTCAAGAACACCTTCAAAATGCAATTCTTGAACCAGCACAGGAATGGGATGGAGCATGCATCAAAACTGGCTCTGTTTTTCAAGGGAGTTTATCCTGTCTCAGGGGACAACCCTCAGCAATTCAACTGGATTATTTTCAACATTTACTTTGTTTGAATCACAGTCAGCTAGACCATCAAACCATAGCATCATTCTTTAGTCTCTCCACAATTTTGTGCAAACCAAAACAAAACAAAAATAATCCATCTTCTGCATCTACTAAAGGAATATTAATTAGCACACAACTAAACACTTATGATAAAGTCCTTCAAATTAAGTAAGGTAATAAATTCAAATTTAACTATCTAAATTGAGGTAAATTCTGAAGATCAAACTTCAGAGACAAATACTGTTAAAATTACACATACAAGCAGTCTGAGAGTGCTTTGGGGAGAACTAGTGTTGCTGAATACTAGGCAAACACTATATAAAGCCAGCAAATAAATAAAAAATAGAAAGTTACCTTACTGAATATAAAAATTAAATGAGACGTGTTTTCTATTGACTCATGGTTTGTGGCTCTGCAATCTCAGAAGGCATGTATGCCAAATGCTGAAAGATACTTTCCCCTAAAGCATTTATGCAAAGCTTTTTGTCCCATGTAGATTCTCTAATAAGGTGCTATTGTAACATCATCCCCCATCAGAGTTCTTCTGCTCTATTTACTTGCCTGTTATCATGAAACTTGCAATAATTTATCAGCATTTGTCTTAAGTTTGAGCCAATAGGTTCAAAAGTTAGTTGAGGTTTAAAACTGATGAGAAGTACAATTGTGTACGCCTTGCTTCCATAAGAAACATTGAAAATATAAAATTACAGATAACAGTTTATCTATATGTGCTATGAATGTGATTCACATTCAAATTACTCAAAAGTTATTAATTGTGTATATGATTATGACTCATGAAGGAGTACAAAAGGTTCCTTGATTCTGATCTTGCTGTTCTATTCAGAAAAATACTTTCAAGCACCTGACATTAGTGTTTTATAAGGACAGGTTTGAAAACTGAAGCACAGTAAAAGTACATAAAACTTTACTTTTTTAAAATATCTCACAGAACTAAGCAAGAAAATCTCCTGAGACTTTTAATCAGAGACTGCTATGCACAGCACAGATGGGAAATTTTTCATCTCCCCCTTCTGACAAAAAGCACAGAAAATATTTTCATATATCATAACTTACATCCTGACCTCTCTATATGCAATAGTTAACGTGCACCTGGGCCCTTCATTGTAACAGTTTTATCATTTCCCACATATCTCTGTGGATGGCCTTAGCACAAGCAAACAGGTTACACAGAGGATTTAAACCTGCTCCTGTCTAGAGACACAAAATCATCCCCCACAATGAAGTTCATGGTCCACCTTTAGCTCTGGAGAGCCTCTATGCTGACTACAGTCATGCTGTTCACATACAGAGTGCAGAATACCAGTGCTCCATTGTATATGTGCTTGTGTTACAGCTACAGGAGAGAGGGATGCTCAAGAATACTCTCTTAGTGTTCTGCCATTTTATATCTTGTGTTTCAACATCAATGTAATCACAGCTGCTACCCTAATCAGACAGGTCTCTGAGCAAGAGCTTGTATTCCAGTTGCACAGCTCGCTCACATTTCTCCTAACAAACCTATACCCCTAAGGCTATGTGGAATACTTTTTAGCCTGTGCTATGGCAAACTTCTTTCATAAATGCTTTAATACACACCTTCAAAATGCTGAGGCAAAAGTGTATAACAAAGTTTCTCGGCAGCTTTTCTCTTTAGTAAGTACGGGTATTTGTGGTCTCACTCACTTCTGACCTGGTTCAGAATCTTTGGACTGAGGATTCAATTCACCACTTTATAATCTTAATTCCAGAAACTAACTTCTTGGAATATGAAATACTTACAATTAAAAGGTCATTCTAGAGCACAGGAGAGAAAAAAATTACTTTTGTTCTACACTCTGTATTTGCAAAACTTACAGTGGGAAAGCATAACGGACACAACCACAGAAAGCAGGCCTCAAAGAAAGCACTGATCAGAGACAGGATCGGTTTGACCTAAAACATTATTGCAGAAAGCACTTTTTTTCGGAAATGTTCTAAGACATTTAAATTATGTACTGCTAGGAAATGTTTCCTTAGGTCTAGACAAAGCTGCCTCGACAAAGTTCAAGCACTTTTGTTCTCTCCAAACTGTACAGAACAGCTTATTTCCTTCTTTGCAATGTGACTGACACAGCCCTTTTGAGTAGCAGTATCCTGTAGACAATGAAGAGCCTGTTTCACACAGCGTGTCTGAGGCTGGACCTCTGGAGGTCATGTGGCCTGACATCCCTGCTCAAGCAGGGTCACCTACAGCCCATTGCCCAGAATCATGTCCAGGTGGCTTTGGAAGGTCTTCAAAGTTAGAGACTCCAGCAGCTCTCTGCCAGTGTCCCATCTGCCTCACAGTAAAAAAGGCTTCCTGATGTTCATAAGGAACATCCCATGTTTCAGTTTGTGCACACTGCCTCTGATCCTCTCACTGGGAACCACTGCAATGAGCCTGGTTCTGGTCTTTGCATCCTGCCTTCAGGTTTTCACACACAGGTTTTCATTTTTGTAGCCCTTTGTCAGAACCCAGGACATCTCTCTGAGTGCCCTGGATGGCTCAAAATCCTGGCAGGGGCTCAGAGACCCTGGCAGGAAGCCAAAGACACTTGGGAATTCGATCTCAACCCACAGAGCAAATTACCAACTTTATATGAAGAATTACAAGTCACAAAAGATTAACTAGCATAGCAGTAGTTATCACAAGGTGAAAGGTGGAATTTTGAAGAATTTTACTACGGGGATCTAGGGAACAAGATGGAAGAATTTGGGCATTGTCCTGTCCTTCTTCCTAGCCTCCATCTTCTTGGTGATGCTAGCATTTTTAGATTGATTTAGAGTAGAAAGTCACTGTCTAACATAAGTGATAAGTATTAGAACATAACTGTAAATATCGAATACGTAGTTTATAGTATAAAAAAACAACACCAGCCCGGGGACGGCAGTGTGCCTCAGAACAACCTGCTGAACAGACCTTGGCAAGCCAAACAAAAATTTTTTTAGATAAGAAATAATAAACAACCTTGAGAACGCGAGCCAAAGACTTCTGACTCCTTCTTCGACAGCTGGGTTGGAGAAAAGAGACTTTCAACACTCCTCAGGGTCACCTTGGCCAGAAAAGTTCCCAAAAGCCCTTCACTAAACTCTCTCTAGCAGCTCCATCTTTCTCTTGCTCCAGAAGAGGCCTCACTTGGGCTCTCTGGAGGGGCGGGACGACCTCCCTCAACCTACTGGCAACACTCATCCTACAGCAACCCAGGGCACGACTAGCCATCCTTACTGGAAGGACACAGCGCTGGGCCAGATTCAGCTCAGTGTTCATCAGAATTCCCAAGTCCTTTTCCGAAAAACACATCTCCAGTTGGGGAGTTCCCACCACATGCCTGTGGTTGCTTCGCCACAGGGGCAGGACTTTGCTCTTCACCTTGTTCCACCTGTTCCCCTCAACTTCGTGAAGTTCCTCTCAGCCTGTTTCTGCAGTTCCTTAACCTGGCAGCACAACCCTGTGGTTTCTCAGCTACTCATCCCAGCTAGGTGTCACCTGCAAACTTGCCAGGAGTACACTCTGCCCCACTGTGCAGGTCATTAATGAAGATGTTAAAAAGGCTCAGGCTCAGGTTTTGACCCCTGGGACATTTATTGGCCTCCAACTAGACTTGTGCCATGTGTCACCATCCTCTGGGCCTGGCCATTCACCTGAGGTCATTGTCTGCACACCCAGTCTGCACATGAACTGCTTCTCTTTCAAGGTAGAGCCTGGAGCCAAAAGCCTTGCTGAAGTCTGCAAAAACAATGTCTGCTCTCTCCCTCACTCTTTAACAGGTTGGTCAAGAGTAGGATGTCCCCTTTCACTTCTGAACAAACTCAAGGGAGAAAGGCTTACACACAGCCTTACATAAAGATCAATTTTCTCTGACGTTCAGTATGCATAAGAAAAGCAGAAAGCTTATAAAAGAGGACACAGAGAGGAAATGTCCTTCATGCACCCCATGGTGGTTTAATCTTTTTTCTTCATTATTACACAATGATATTCCTAACAGAAATAATTTGTATATTCTGTCTCAGGAATAGAAAAATAACAGTTGCACTGCCTGAAATCACACTAAAAAACTCCAAACCTCTCTATTTGGAACAACCTAACCAAAACTTAAGAAAACTTGCAGGTGGTTTGTACTTTTACAATTACACTGAAATATATATTCCTTTGTTACATGAATTTCACACTTAGCTACACCAGCTCAAAACACGGACTTCATTTTGCCTGTAAATGACCTGTGCCCAACAAGCTCTAATATGTAAATCAATAGAAAGATAATCAAATATTAATAGTCATAATCTTAATAGTCAAATTTAGAAAAAGATATTACTGCTAGATTATGAGAAGCACTTGTTTTAATGGTTGCATGGTGTGAGACCACTTAAACTTTTTTTTGTGTAAGGCAAGCTGCAGTGCCAGTAGAAACAATGCTACTAAAAAAATCATACCTATTACCCACGCATGTATATCAGCAGTCATGCATCACATGGATTTGGTTGGTTTTTTTCCTCCATCAGCACTGTTTTCAGACAGATGCATTACATAACCACAGACAGTACCCACGTTTCTGGCAGCAGCAAGGAAGGAAAAACTTCTTTAAAGACTGATCTCCTTTTCTCTGCAGAGGCCCAGCAAGGAGAGGAGCACACCACAAGCAGGGGGCACGGAGCATGAGAGGACGTTTAGACATCGATAAACTATTTACTGCAAGGGCGTTTAGCACTGAACAGGCTGCCCGGGCCGGCCTGGATGCCCCATCCCGGGGCGTGTTCACGGCCAGGTGAGATGGAGCTGAGCAGCCTGACCTGGAAAAAGGTGTCCCTATCCGCGGTGGGTGGTTGGAACTGCGAGATCTTTCAGGCCCCTTCCAACCACTCTCTGGTTCCACGATTCTATGAAAGCAACCGTGAGATCGCTCTTCCTGGCCACGTTCCCACCGTGCTTATCCCAAACCAGAGGGCAGAAACAGCACGCTTATCGGGGGAGTTGCAGCACCTCTCAGCAAACCCCGGCAGCCGGCTATGCACGTACTCCCAGGGAAGCATTCCAAGGTTTGTTTCTCGGTAAGGATGTTTGCAAACTGAAATGCCGTCCGCAGTTCCTACCCTGCTCTGGGCACACCTACACCGCGTTTTATCTGCTTTCACCCTGAGCAAATACGACCGTGGCGTCCTGGGGTGCGGCCTTTCCTGACAGCTGCACCCCAGGACGCCACAGCAGCTACCCGGCAGCCAGGGGACAGCACCATTTTAGACTGAACACGACGCTCCGTTAAAAGGACGAAGGCATCACTCTTTCGCTACCCTGAAATAAGCAGGCCCCCTGAACATCAGGGACTGGACTGAGCAGAGCCCAGCCAAGTCGGGCCGGGCCGGGCCGTGCCGAGTGGAACAGAGCAAAGCAATTGCGCTGAGACACAGGCCGAGCTGCGCATGCCTGACCCGCGTGCCGCAGCCGCAGCCGCAGCCCGGCCACCCGGCCGCCCCGCCGTAGGCTGAAGGGCCCGCACCCGCTCCGGCCGCCCCGCCGTAGGCTGAAGGGCCCGCACCCGCCCCGGCCGCCGCTAGCCAATCAGCCGCGCCCGCGCCCCTTCCCCCCCGCTAGCCCCGCCTCCCAGCTTCGTGCCCGCGCCGCCGCTCTGTGCGGCCGCCACCGCCCGTTACGTAACGCTCCCCCGCCCGCCGCGGCCGCCGAGGATTGGTTAGGAGCGGCGAGCGTGCGAGTCACGCGGCAGCGGGCTCGGGTGAGGCGCGGCGGCGCGGCACGCGATTGGCCGGCACAGGCGAGAGCCAATGGGAGACGAGCCGCTGGATTCAAACGGTGCGGGGCGCGGAAGGGGGCAGTTAGTGCGCGAGGCGTTCCTGAGGGCGAAACCAGAGGCTGCTGTTAGTGCCGCTGCTCCAGCCTGTGTTACCGTCCGCCATGGCCCACAAGCAGATCTACTATTCCGATAAGTACTCTGACGAGCAGTACGAGTACCGGTAAGAAGCTGTAGGAGAGTGCGGGAGGGCCAGCTGGAGGGATTAGGAAGAGCTGTTCCATAGGAGGGTAGCTCGGCCAGCCGCCTCGGTTGAGGTGTGTGGGCCGCTCTCAGAGAATGAGGCGGCTCCGCCGGGAGAATGGAGCCAGAGAGAGCGCAAGGCCAGAGGGAAGGGGCTGTGCTGAGCCTCTCCATGGAGGGTTTCCGCGTGGCGGGACGAAGGGTATCAGTGACCGAATGCTGCTACCGGTTGGCGTAGATTGCTTGGCGAGCGGCCAGCACAAGCCCTGGCCACAGGGTGATGGCGGAGAGGCGGTACCCGCTGCGCTAGCTCCAGGGAAGGGATTGTGGCAGAGATTGCGGCAGCGTCGTCCCCTGCCGACGGGGAACTGTTTAATTCTAGACTTACTTGAAAGCGGTATTACAAATACTTTAGAAGTCCAAAGTTCTTATTTTTCAAGTAGCTGATATATCAGCCTGTTGCCAGGGGTGCACGCTTTTCTGAGTGTATAGTCATTGGAGTCTGAGGGGGTCTAAATCTGAACTAGAAGACAATTTGGCTCCCAGTATGCAGTTGCTTTACAGATGTAAGGTTTAATAGTCGTAAGTGATTTTAAACTGGGTTCTGGGACGGGTTTCATAATCAAATTCATGTCAAGATTCAGTACTCTTGTTTTCTTTATAGGCCAAGTGAGTATTCATAACGTGGTAACTGCCTTTCAGTGCAGATCTGTTCTAATTTTCTAGTGTGCAGTATTTTGTGTGTGTGTTTAATAATTAAACCTCTACAGACATGTGATGCTGCCACGAGAACTTTCAAAACAAGTGCCAAAATCTCATCTGATGTCTGAAGAAGAGTGGAGACGACTTGGTGTTCAGCAGAGTCTTGGCTGGGTTCACTATATGATTCATGAGCCAGGTGAGCACATCTGAACAGAATTAGATAAACGAAAAAGTCAAATATCAGACTGGAGATTGTTCGTGCCTGTGCCCACAGAAACAGGCTTTTTGTGAGCTCTTAAATAACATGAGTGTGCAGTGACTGAACCAAAGTTAATATAGCGCATATCTTTAAGTCATAAAGCTAGCACACCTCACGAAAAATCAGTATTTCAGTTAATGGGGTGTGAAGCCCTAAGACCCTTACTAACTAGGATGTTGGTATTGTGGCAACAGCCATTCCAGGTTTGTACCATTGACAATTCTGACTAAAAAGTAACAGGTTGATTGATAAATTGTAGCAGCATGAAGTTCCAAGTTTCTGAAGAATCAGGTGAAGAAATTAGCATATCCTTCCAGTGTTTCCCTTATTTGGGCACCTTTGATATTTTAGACTTTTTTGAAGGCATTCAAAATTAAGAAGATTGTTAACAATGTAAGCTGGCTGTATTAGCCAAGGTGGATTTTGTTGGTGTTTGATATGTGCCTAACAGACAGTATCAGCAGTTTGTTAGTCTAAGTTAGTGTTTATGAAATAGCCTAATGTAAAGAGGCATTATAAAATATTCTGTTTTCCCAGCACTTCCCTCCTGTAAGGATCTTAAATTTATGATACTGCCAGCATTGGGTATAAAAATGAAAACTTGACTGTTGTAAGAGTACCGCATACTTGGTTTGTTAATATTACCCCTGGGGCCATACTTAGGCTTTTAATTATTTATTTGAAACTAAGCCTCGACTATTGCTCAAGATTAAAGAAATCCCTTTAATCACGATTTGGACAAACTGACACTTTGTTCAATTTTCTTTCTGCAGAACCACACATTCTGCTCTTCAGAAGACCGCTTCCAAAGGATGAGCAGAAATAAGCCACGGCCTTTTGAATCTTCTGGAACTATGTATATGAGTGTATATATGTTGGTAGTATTCAGTGAATACTTTAAATTTACAAAACATACATCCAAACCTGTGCATGAGCTGTATTATTCACAGCAACAAAGCTCAGTCAAATGCAATTCCAAGCAGGCTGCTATGATGTTCAAAGAGTTATGATTTTATCTTTTACTGTTAATGTAAGTGCCTCTCTGACTTAAATTGTGTTGTGTTGCATGTTCCGATGAGCTCATCCCTTGTTAGTGTTCTATAAGTTTTGCACTCAAATTTTCTGCTGTAGTTCAAATGCAGTAGTTCAATTGTTTAGTAGTAAGTAGGCTTAAGAAATAAACTGTTTAAATGCTTTATGAAACCTAAGTGTCTGGAGTTGTGATTTTATGGACAAAACATATTCATTGTCTAATATTTTTTAAGAGTGCCTACTTCAAAAAACAAAACTCATTTGATGAACCTGGTAGTACTTGGTATAAACTTAGGGTTGAGTAGTACTCAGTATCTGAAGAGCTTTTTAGGCTTCTTTGTTCAGCTTTGCCAATACCAGTTAATTTTTACTCTGGGGTTTTAGCCTGCTCTTCCTGTCCTGCATCCAAATTGTCACTGTGGCTTTGTGGGAGGTGGTTCTGTATATTGAGTAGCTCTTCAGAATAACAGGTTCATTTCAAAGGCAAATTGCATTACGGTTGTGCACAATTTGGAAGGCCAACAAAAGCCGGGTTAAGTATGTGCTCTGCCTGTGTAATGTGGGCTCTCATGGACACAGACCAAGTAAGTAACCTGGAAAGTTTGGTGAGGAAAAGAACCCTTGTCTTTTCTCCAAAAGCTGCCAGAGATGTCTCACGTGCTGGTCTGTACCAGACTGGTCAGAGCAGGACTGTCCCAGTCTGAAGCAAGCACCTTCACTGAGAATTTTTCTGAGCTCTGCTGCTTAAGTCATGCTTAAGGCATGCCAGCCTTTATTCCGTGCCGTCCTTTCCCCTGTGGCAGAGGATCGGCCGCAGCTGTGGGCAGGGCGGCTCAGCCGAGCCCCGGCCGGTACCGCCGCCGCTCCCGCCCGCACCGTGCCCGCTGGGTCGCGCCGGGAGCGGCCGCGCGCACACGGCGCCGGCAGCGCGGGCGG